CCATGAGTTCCAGGTCAGTCTTGTCTCAGAAAATCAAAAGTAATGCATGCCAATACATATACACAGCTGAACCAACCCTTCAGCTCACTGAGGTCTGAATAGTGACATTGAAAGACTGTGGAAGTGGAATAGCAATTGATAGTACTTGTTGTGTAAATGGCAGTTTCTGTCCTGTCTGGTCCCGCAGCCATTCAGTCTGAAAGAAACACACACAGGCTTATATTAACTATAAACTGTTTGGCCAATTAGCTCAGGCTTATTATTAACTAGCTCTTACAACTTAAATTAATCCATAATTCTTATCTATGCTTAGCTATGTAACTTGGTACCTTTTCTCAGTAAGGCATTCTCATCTTGCTTCCTCCGCATCCGGATGATAATAGCGTCTCTGCCTTTCCTCTTCCCAGAATCCTCCTTTTCCTTGTCTGGTTGCCCCGCCTATACTTCCTGCCTGGCCCATCAGTGTTTTATTAAACCGATACAAGTGACAACTCTTTAAATGTACAAGAGCATTATCCCGCAGCAGATAAGGAAAGGGGAGATGATGTGGGATGCTCTTCTGTATATGTGTTGTTTTTATTGGTTGATGAATAAAACTGTTCAGCCAATGGCTTAGCAGAGTAAAGCCAGGAAGGGAATCCGAACAGAGATATATAAAGAGACAGTAGGCAGAGTCAAAGAGACGCCATGTAGCTGCTGAAGGAGAAAGATGCCAGAACATTACCAGTAAGCCACAGCTTCATGGTTAAACATAGGTGAATAAATGGGTTAATTTAAGAGGTAAGAGCTAGTTAGGAATATTACTGAACCATTGACCAAACAGTGTTGTAATTAATATAGTTTCTGTATGATTATTTGGGTCTGAGCAACCAGGAAATGAAAGTGCAGTCTCTGTCTAAAAATGGTGCCCAACCTGGGGCTCGGACCCATGACCCTGAGATTAAGAGTCTCATGCTCTATCGACTGAGGTGGCTGAATGACTGCAGAACTGGGTGGGACAGAAACTTCTGTCTACAGAAACGAAACGTTTGGCAAGAATTTCCATATAAAGCCCGAGAAAGCTAAAAAATAGGATTCTAGACAGACAAGAACTGAGACAAGTGCAGCATCTTGGTAAGAGACGTGGTTCTTATAAAAAGAGGTTTCCTGACTCAGGGTTAGCAGCAAAAACCTTGCAGCTCCTTTTAGAGGCTTTGCCATCAAACACTTAAATGGTATTTATGAGTAGCTGACGGCATGCTTCTTGGTGGTGGCAGGGACCTAGAAACTCCAGAGTTGTAGCAATATACATGGCTCCCATTTGTACCTCTGCCATAAAGCTAGACTCTCAGGAAGCTAAGGGTGGGACGGAGTCAGCCACCAAAGTCACAGCTTTAATCCTAGCCATATTGCTTAGCAGATTAAAGACTCGTGTGGTCAGAAAAAGATAGAGATGTACAGTAAAGACAGATTCAAATGAAAAGAGCCTCTAAACGGTTTACAGTGTGTTTAAAAATAAACATACATTGGGAGAGAAAAGAAACAGGATATAAAAAGCATGTAGGGGAAAAAAAAGAAATAGGGTATGATGGCACACACCTTTAATCCCAACACTTGGGAGGCAGAGGCAGGTGGATCTCTGTGAGTTCGAGACCAGCCTGGTCTACAGAGTGAGTTCCAGGACAGTCTTGGAGTGAGTTCAGCAGGAAGTAGCCTTGAAAACAACACCCACATTCCAAAAAAATTTGATTATGAATATTTGTCTTTGTTTAGTGTGTTGGTTAAAAGTTGCTATCAATAATGGTCAGGAAAAAAAGCTAAACAAAAGAGATTAGATTCAGGGTCTTATTTTGAAAAGAAAAAAGGGGAAATGCTGTGAGATAATGCTCTTATACACTGTAAAGATTTGTCACTCACATTGGTTTAATAAAACTCTGACTGGTCAGTAGCCAGGCAGGAAGCATAGGCGGGGCAACCAGACAAGGAGAAGGAGGATTCTGGGAAGAGGAAAGCAGAGATGCTGTTATCATCCAGATGCGGAGGAAGCAAGATGAGAATGCCTTACTGAGAAAAGGTACCAAGTCACGTGGCTAAGCATAGATAGGAATTATGGGTTAATTTAAGTTGTAAGAGCTAGTTAATAATTCGCCTGAGCTAATAGGCTAAACCGTTTATAGTTAATATAAGCCTGTGTGTGTTTCTTTCAGACTGAATGGCTGTGGGACCAGACAGGACAGAAACTTCCATCTACACTTGCTGTTTTCAATTGGGCCTGTGTTCAGTTCCCAGCCAGGCAGCTCACAATCATCTGTACTTTCAGTATTTAATCCCAGCACTCAGGAAGCAGAAGCAGATAGATCTCTGAGTTTGAGGCTAGCCTGGTCTACAGTGAGTTCTAGGACAGCCAGGGCTACATAGAGAAACCCTGTCTCAAAAAACAAAAGAAAAAAAAAGTGCACCACCACGCCTGGCTCATTTTTCTTTTAACAATTAAAAAAAAATCTTTCATTCTTTAACAGTTTCATACATTTATGCAAAGTATTTTTATTCAGATCCATTCCTGTACCTCCCAGTCCTTCTGACAAAGCCTCCTCCCACCTTCATGTCCTTTTTCTGCAACCCTCTGAGTGTAGTAACTGCTGCCTGCTGGAATACTGACTGATCTTATCCAGGCAGCCGCAGTTGCTGTGAGGTCACGAGTGTGCATCAGACATTTCACAGCCTTCACCCCGCCCTCCAGCTCTCGCAGTCGTTCTGCCCCCTCTTCTGTGATGTCCCCCAAGCCTTGGAGGGCAGTGGTGCTGAAAATGTCTCACTTAGGACTGAGCACTTACACCTGCTTCTTCCTCTGCGTTCTGACTCGTGAGTCTCTGCAAACAGGCAGGAACATTCCAAAGGCAGTTTCACATCCAGCGAGCAATGAGAGGTAGGTGTCTTTCCTTGGCCTGTGACTTCCGAAGGTGGGCTCTGGGTCAGCTTACAGCACCAAGCATAATTCCCTCCTGTAGAATAGCCTTAACTACAACCAGAAAGCTGCTGGCTGCCCGTCACTCTCGGGCCACTATTGCACCAAGGTTGCTATCCTGCCATTCGTCAGAGTGGCAGTAGTCAGGGTCCACAACCAGATAACACAACTGATATCTTTTCTTTCCCAACAGACTGAATGTCACCTTCTGGCACTATGAAATCAAACCAGCAGGGAGGAAGGCCCCAGTTCCAGCTTGGCTTCTCTGTGTCCTGCAACCAAAGTAACTGGTGTCTTCAGCAACTAAGACCTGATTATGGTAGGCAACCAAGAGCCATGGCAAGAGCCTGTGTTGTTGTTGTTGTTGTTTTGGTTTTTCAAGACAGGGTTTCTCTGTGTAGCTTTGGAGCCTGCCCTGGAACTCACGCTGTAGACCAGGCTGGCCTCGAACTTACAGAAATCCGCCTGCCTCTGCCTCCCAAGTGCTGGGATTAAAGGTGAATGTCATCACTGCCTGGCTGAGCCCGTGTTGTTGGAAGAGATCTGGGGAGAAACATTTCAGGCCTTTGATGTTCTTTCCTGGCCTTTGTTCAAATTTAAATGCAGGTTCCCAGTTACCAAAATGTACCTTCCTCAGGGAACACAGTGGCTGCTCAGGAAATCTTTCAGGAATCCTGGGATGCACCAGAGACTCCCATTTTATAGGCAAAGAAACTGAGACTCAGGAATTCAGTGGCGTGCCTCAGTTCATTATTTGATAGCTGTTTGACCTAGAATAAATTCCTTAACATCTCTGGGCTTTAGTTTCTTTTTAGTAACTCGGATTTGAAGTAGTTGATATTTCTTGGGGCTGCTAAGGATATTAAATAAGATAATATGGGGCTGGAGCACAGCTCAGAGTTAGAGGCCCCACTAAGAATCCCTCAGTGAGGAGTTGGGGGCATAGTCAGGGATAGAACTCTGCCTAGAATCTCCCAGTGAGGGGCCAGGGAGTGGGGGGGGGCAAGGCTTGGCGCTGGGAATCAAACAACTGTGTAGACTGTCTCCCTATGAAGCTCTTGTTCTACAACTACAAAAGACAAAACCAAAAAGATCAATCAGTGCAACTACTTTAAGTAATGCTTATGTCAGGTGACAACTAATTGGGAAAGTTCCAGAACGTGTTTCTGGTGGTAGCAAAAGCAGTGAGTTTCTGCATACATGTCTCAGCCTGATATAGGTGTGTTCGGAAAGAGCTCAGCAAAGAGCAGGGGGAGTTCCATCTGGAAGGAAGTGTGGCTACTGGAGCCAAGCGAGTGTGCGTGGAAGACTAAGGTGGGTGCAGAGGTGACTGACAAGGAGCCATGATGTCACGGGCTCGATGGCTCAGTTTCACCTCTTCCGAGGACCTCCTAGCACAGGCTAGGCTGGAGGACAACGGAGAAGCAGGTGTGGCCGTGGAGGGGACAGTATTTCTCGAGGTGGAGGACCGTGCATCTCACAGCAAAAACTGTCCACCTGGAATGGGACAATAAAAGGGACGTTTCTAGAGAGCTGGGCACCCTCCAAGAATGAATACAGCTACAGCGAACATCCGGTGCCTCCGGCAAGATTCAGGACTCCTGCTCTGGGGTCCTTGGAGGCCTCCAGGAGCCCTACCTCAGCGTCCCCACTCCTTAAGCTGCTTTGTTCAATACATTTCTCAGCGTGTCCATGGCTCGACTTCTTGTAAATTCCTGCCCCCTTTTTCCGAGCGCCTACACCCGGGAGTCATGGCTGAAAGCACCTGGGAATTGTAGTTCCTAAGACCAGGCGAGCACATGACATGCACCCAGGGATTGCTGAGGGAGCAACGGTGGCGGCAGATGTTTCACCTGAGGCATCACCTCACCCCGCCGTGCTCTGCTTCCCGCGTGGGCACCGCAGAACTGCAAAGCCCCTAGCGGGAACCCGCATAAGACCGAGATACTCTTTCGAACGCTAACTTCCGATGAAGACCCCGCCCACAGACTTATCCCCGCCTTCTGCGGCCCCACCCACTCCGTTCGGAAGTGGACTAGCGAGCGACTCCCGCAGAGCACGCCGGGAATTGTAGTTCCGGAAGCCACGCCGGGGGCGCACAGAGATATGTGGCCCCGAGTGCTGCTTGGGGAGGCCCGGGCGGCTGCAGGCGGATACGGTGCTGTCTTGTCTCGCTTCGCCGTGCGGTTCTCTCTGCCATGGACTGCTGGAAGCGGCTCACCCCTGCGGAGGAGCCTCCATGGAACTGTTCCGCGAGCTTTCCCGCTCATCCCCATAGTGGTGGAACAGACGGTACGGGGCCCTGGTAGGGGGCATGGCGTGGAGACTTGAGGAGGCAGGGCGGCGTGCAATGGTCGCTGACCTTTCACCTCTGTTCTTTTCCTACCAGGGTCGAGGCGAGCGCGCTTATGACATATACTCGAGGCTCTTGCGGGAACGCATCGTGTGCGTCATGGGCCCGGTGAGCGACCCCGGTGCGCTCTGGAGACACCTAGCTGTCTCTCCAGCCTTTCTCCCCTTGTCAAGCCCTGTGCCTCACCCTGCTCTTCCTCATCCCTGGTGACCTTCTAGACCCTAGTCCCTGACCATAAACATTCTTTTTCTTTTGAACCAAACTCTTGCTGTGTAGTCCAGACTAGCCTTCTGCCTCAGCTTCCCGAATGTTGGGTGTCAAGTGCATACACCACCGTAGTCTGCTCTTGCCAGCTATTCTTTGTTTTGTTGTCTTCTGCGGCAGGGTCTCACGCTGGCCTTGAAGTCCCTATGTAGCTGATGGTGACGTTTATTGGAGTGAAGGTGTACCACCACACCAGGGTCATGCCGTGCTGGGACTGGAACTCAGTACCAGCGTTCTGCCCGCTGAGCCACAGCCCCAGTTAGATAGTTGACTTTTTGAGACAGGATCGTGTGTAGCCCAGGCTGACTTTGAACCCTGATCCTCTTGCCTCCAACTCCCAAGTGCTGGGATGATTGGTATGTGCCACCACACCAGGTCTAGGCAGTGCTTAGAACATGCTAGGTGAGCACTCGACCCAGCCCTGTCCTCAGCTTATTGCCTTCCAGTGTCTGGGGCTCCCTGACCACCCCCTTTCTATGATGGCTCATTAAGCCTCCCTCCAGCCCACCTTCAATCTGGGGACAACTCTGCCCTCCCCACCTGCAGATTGACGACAGTGTCGCCAGCCTGGTGATCGCTCAGCTGCTGTTCTTACAGTCTGAGAGCAACAAGAAACCCATCCACATGTACATCAACAGCCCAGGTGAGCAGGGCCTGACCGTGTTGGGGCTCGGGAATATCCTCTCTCTGGAGAATAGGTGTGAATCAGCTTTCTGCAGAATCTAACATTTAAACTCGCTCCGGGCATGGCAGGGTGGTGCACTTGGCAGGCAAAGGCGGGCAGAACTCTGAGTTCTAGGACAGCCAGGACTACTCAGAAATTTAGTATTTTTAGCCACATGTGGTGGCGTACACTTTTAATTCCAGTATTCAGGAGGCAGGTGCAGGCAGATCTCTAGAGGCCAGCCTGGTCTACAGAGTGAATTCTGAGACAGTCAGAAAACAAAGAACTAGCTAATTGTAGTAATAAGTGCGGCGGGGCTGCGTCCCCTGGCTAGCTTATGCCCGAAATAACAACACACAAACTGTATTCATTTAAACACTGCTTGGCCCATTTCTATCTAGCCTCTTCTAGGCTAATTCTAACATATTAATTTAGCCCATTTCTTATCATCTATGTAGCACCGCTAGGTGTGCTTACCGGGAAGATTCTAGCCTACGTCCATCCGGGATCGGAGCTTCATCGCGTATGCCCAGGAGAGCGAAGCAGGGCCTCTGCTCCAGAGAGCAGAGCTGTCGAGTCTGAGCTCACTTCCTCTTCCTCCCAGCATCCTGTTCTGTTTACTCCTCCCACCTATGTTTTAACCTATCAGGGCCAAGGAGTTTCTTTATTGCTTAACCAGTGAAATCAACAGATTGATATATGACACTCCCACATCAGCTAATTAATTAAAATCCCTCCAAAAGGGCTGTCACTGGCCTGGAACTCTCCAAGTATGCTGGTGTGGCTGGAGAGTGAGCCCCAAGGATCCTCATGTCTCTGCCTCCCCAGTGCTGGAATTATAGTCATGTGCTGCCGTGTGTATTTTGTGGGTGCTGGGGAATCTGAACCCACTGCCACATGCTTGTGTAAAGGAAACTCTGCCACCTATAACCTGATTCCCTATTGGCTTCTCACGTCAGCTGAGGTGGCAGGCATGAGCCCCCGCTCTCTGCAGAAATAGCTGATTTTTTTTTTTTTTTTTTTTTTTTTTTGGTTTTTT